CACAAAATTCTTTAACAGCAAATTGCTTGACCCTTATAAATGTTTATATTTAAATTGAGAATTCAATATCTTGTTCTTTTTTCTATTTGCTTCTCCTATTCTGACTAACTTTAAATTGTGATTTTGTATTATGTAAGTCAATTGAATTATGATCCTTTCATATTTTAACAATTATCATATCAACCAATCTTAATTTATACTACTTTAGCTCTCAACTAAAATATTTTATAATATTAATATTGAAAGTATACTAATGAGTTTATTCTATTATTTATCTCCTTAATTTCATAAATTAAATTAAAAAATTGCCTTTTTGTATTAGTGGATTTTTTACATTCAAGTTTTAAAGTTTTGTACAGAAATTAAGTTTTTTGATGGAATATAAAAAAATGTCCTTCTTAATATTTAAATTAAATCATTACCTAGTTAAAGATTAAAATGATGATTTTTTCTATGTCAAGTATAGAAAAGCATCATTTTTAGAGAAATATTTAACAAATTTTAAAATAATGTATAATTTATTTAATATCAAACAAATATTGTTTATGATGTTCCAGATGTCTCTTTTTTCTTATTATCACAGAAAAACTTTTTCAATTTTTACAGTAAGACTTATGACTATAAAAACACATCGATGATCAAAGAGAATGATAGGATAGCTGAAAAAGTGAAGATATGAACCCAGCCTAAAGTTATACTAAAATTTTGATGTAATCCAATATCCTTCAAATAATCATAAAAAAAAAATGAAATTGTGTTAAAAATAATAATTGACTCTGTTATTATCATTTTGTAATATTCATAAATATTCTTTAAAGGTTTATTTGAGATGAAATATAAAAGAAATAAAGTCTAATTTGAAGCTATGATCATTGTTTGAAGTTTACCTTCTGTTTACATAAAAACAATTATGCATATGAAAATAAACTTTTTTAATAATAAAATACTATTATATTATACAATCCAAACATACTAAGTATTCTATGTTCCTTCAAATAAAGCTTCATATTATTATTTAATCTTTAATGTATTTGAATTAGAAAATTTTTACAGTAAATTAAATATGTAGATTGATATACCTAAATAAGAAGAAAAAACTATTAAAGAAGCATATGAAGTTATTAATTAACTTAAATTATTACTTTAAAAATAAGCAAGCTAAATGGTCATTGCAAAAGCAATATCATATGCACTAGACATGAAAATTCTTAAGACAACATTGTAATAGAATTATTTAGATTATTGCATAAACTTTTTTCTCATAAATAAATAAATCTCAGCAACAGTAAGGTTCATTTTCTTAATAGTTTATGGATTTATTCGATATAAGTATATATGTGAATATTTAACAAACAAATAACTTGTATATGCAGATATCGAACAAAATAAAAAACTATTAAAGTTGTCTAGAAAATTAACACTAATATCATCTTTAAAAAATTTATCATTATTTGAAATTTCATTATTTTCTCCTTATTAAATAAGATTTAAAAATTTATCTATTCCAAATGCTTATATTAAGGGATTGATTGTAATCATTTTAAAAACATCAAAATAAATATTAAGATTTGGAGGAAATCGAATATTAATATATTTAATATACGATAAATACTATAATTGATCCATCAAATTCCAAAATAGTTCAGAAGAACCAGTCATTAAACAAAGTGAAGATAAACTGATTTAAAAATATATGACTGCTTCATTAAAAGTAGCAGTATTTTAAGCTACAGTTACTTAAGTTTAACTTAATATTGTAGGTGTAAGTAATGGAATAATTTTCATTGATTATAAAAGTGGCAGATTTTATTCAGAAACAAATGATTCATTTAAAAATTATATTTTCAAAATTGGTCTATCAACAGGAACATATATATAAACTTTAAACTTAATTGTTATTTCAGATTCTTATTCATTATATTACAATTATTGTATTATCTTATAATCAGAATCTTACATATCTAAAAGAGTTGAATTAATTAAAGTATATAATTATTCTTCAGAATTACCTAAATACTTCATTTTTTAATCAAATTTTACTTATATATCTTAAATATCAGTAGCTTAAATTGGGAGTAATTTAATCTCAAATTATGGCAATTTTTAGTAAACACATAAAGAATAACTACCTTCTTTATTTTAACATTAATAATCAGTTTCAATTTAGCAATATATATTACATCCATCTCCATTTACATGATTCCCATCATCACAATCCTCTACTGATTTAACATAATAACCATCCCCACATTAAGCTATACAAGCATTATAATAAAGTTATCTTCCTATTTCACATTTTTAACAGATTTATCCTTAATAACAATCTATACAATATTAATCGCATAAAAATAAACAATTATGACACCCATCGTTTTAATTATCATTCATATCATCACATTATTCATGATCAATTATGATTCCATCCCCACAAAATGGTTTACAAATATGATTATCTAATATCCAACCAAATACATCACATTCATAACATATACCTTGTTTACAAAGTGTACACACTTCTTAACATTAAAATTTACATTCATAACAACCATCATACTATATCAAATTACCATCATCACATTATTCTAAATCTTGAACAACAAATCTATCACCACAAATTGAATTACAACGATTATTAATTAAATGCCAACCTTACAATCCACATTCATAACATATTCCAAATTTACAATCTGTACATTCAACTTAACATTAAAATTAGCATTCATAACAACCATCATATGGAATATCATTTCCATCATCACATTATTCATTTTTTACTACAATTTGATCTCCACATTCAGATATACAATAATTCTCATATAAATACCAACCTTTAGAATTACATTCTAAGCAATCTCCTAATAAACATTTAGTACATTATTATTAACATTAAAATTCGCATTAATAACAACCATCTTAATCTATTTCATTTCCATCCTCACATTACTCTTTTCCAACTATTATTCCATCTCCACAATTTGATCTACAAACTGTTGATACTAAATCAATCTCCCATCCTATTCCTTCGCAAGCGTAACATTTACCTTCATAACAACTTACACATTCTTTTTAACACTTTAATTAACAATTTAAACATTCCTGATCAGCTATAATTTATAAATCATCACATTACTCATTTGAAGCTATAATTCCATCACCACAAATGCTATAGCAAGAATTATGTTCTTAATTTAAATAATATCCAAAATAGCATGAGTAACAAATACCCATTCTACAATCAAAACAATTTTAATCACAATAGTAATGACACTAAAAACATCCATCATTAGGAATCTCATTTCTATCGTCACAATCCTCTTCCATTGATTTTATACCATCTCCACAAATAGACAAGCATTTATTATTTAATTTATCAATATATCCATATCCTGAAGTAATATTGCATTCTAAACATTATCCCATAACACAAATTAAACAAAATTAAGGACAATCAAATCTATTTTAGAAACACCCATCTAATCCAATTAAATTTTAATCATTACATTATTCTTAACCCACTACTTAATTATCTAAATTATTTTCTTAGCAAATGTTATTAATAATAATAAATCCAGATTTACACTTCTAACATTATCCATATAAACATAGTTCACATTAAAGTTGACATTAAAATTAAGATTAAAAACATCCATCATTTACTATTTAGTTTCCATCATCACATTATTCATTACCTACTATCAATTTATCCCCATTAATTGGATAACAAATTCTATCAATAATATTTAAAATCCATCCTTCATTACATTAATAACATTTCCCATTATAGCAAGTAGAACAAGTATCTTGACATATGTAGAGATATTAAAAGCAATATTGATCTAATAAATCATAACCAATATTATTTGTATTCAAATAGATATTTAAAGTATTTCCACAAATAGTTTAACAAGTGTTATTCTTAAGATACCATCCATTTTATTCATCACATTTAATACATTAATTAAATTAACAATCAATACAATTATTTGGACATTAAAATTTACAATTATAACATCCATCATTAGGAATCTAATTATTATCTTCACATTCTTCTGTTTTTACTAATAGATTATCACCACAAATGGAAATACATTTATTATTATCTACTAATTGAAAACCTTTTTTGCAATTAAAACAAAATCCTTAAAAGCAATCATTACAAATTTCATCACAATCAAATTTACAATTATTACATCCATCATAAGGATTATGATTACCATCATCACACTCTTCTCCTTCAACTATTATTAAATCACCACATACAGGTAAACATAGGATATTAATTCCATCATCATAGAAACCAGGTTAACATATACATTCATTGTTATATAAATATCTATGAAATTCAATTACGCAAGATTAACAATTAGTTTATAAAGATCCTGTGCATGTTTCACAATATTTATTACATATAATAATAATAGGAGGAGTAGTTTGAATTGGAGGTCGAGGTACAGATGGATTAATTGATATACACCATCCATTTTCTAAATTATTATAATAACTTGATGTATCACATTAAGTGCATTCATCCATATTTTTGCATGCTAAACATCCTGGTTAGTTACATGTGATACAACTATAAGATTCTGATACAGGGTTAAATTATAAAAATTAGTTTGTTAAACAAGTTGAACTTGTGTGTCCAGATTCCCAAGTAACACACGAGTTCCCATCATTACAATCTTAACAAAATGGTTAACACTATAATTTTATATTAATTATTTACATAATGTACTACAATAAAGTATTCAGATATTGCACAAAATTCATCTCTTGGATCTGAAGTTGTATCTGTACATTATAACTCTATATATAATGTTGATTATTTGAAAGGATTCTAAAATATTTCAAAATATAATGTCCTTTCTTCTGAAATTTTANACCTTCATAACAACTTACACATTCTTTTTAACACTTTAATTAACAATTTAAACATTCCTGATCAGCTATAATTTATAAATCATCACATTACTCATTTGAAGCTATAATTCCATCACCACAAATGCTATAGCAAGAATTATGTTCTTAATTTAAATAATATCCAAAATAGCATGAGTAACAAATACCCATTCTACAATCAAAACAATTTTAATCACAATAGTAATGACACTAAAAACATCCATCATTAGGAATCTCATTTCTATCGTCACAATCCTCTTCCATTGATTTTATACCATCTCCACAAATAGACAAGCATTTATTATTTAATTTATCAATATATCCATATCCTGAAGTAATATTGCATTCTAAACATTATCCCATAACACAAATTAAACAAAATTAAGGACAATCAAATCTATTTTAGAAACACCCATCTAATCCAATTAAATTTTAATCATTACATTATTCTTAACCCACTACTTAATTATCTAAATTATTTTCTTAGCAAATGTTATTAATAATAATAAATCCAGATTTACACTTCTAACATTATCCATATAAACATAGTTCACATTAAAGTTGACATTAAAATTAAGATTAAAAACATCCATCATTTACTATTTAGTTTCCATCATCACATTATTCATTACCTACTATCAATTTATCCCCATTAATTGGATAACAAATTCTATCAATAATATTTAAAATCCATCCTTCATTACATTAATAACATTTCCCATTATAGCAAGTAGAACAAGTATCTTGACATATGTAGAGATATTAAAAGCAATATTGATCTAATAAATCATAACCAATATTATTTGTATTCAAATAGATATTTAAAGTATTTCCACAAATAGTTTAACAAGTGTTATTCTTAAGATACCATCCATTTTATTCATCACATTTAATACATTAATTAAATTAACAATCAATACAATTATTTGGACATTAAAATTTACAATTATAACATCCATCATTAGGAATCTAATTATTATCTTCACATTCTTCTGTTTTTACTAATAGATTATCACCACAAATGGAAATACATTTATTATTATCTACTAATTGAAAACCTTTTTTGCAATTAAAACAAAATCCTTAAAAGCAATCATTACAAATTTCATCACAATCAAATTTACAATTATTACATCCATCATAAGGATTATGATTACCATCATCACACTCTTCTCCTTCAACTATTATTAAATCACCACATACAGGTAAACATAGGATATTAATTCCATCATCATAGAAACCAGGTTAACATATACATTCATTGTTATATAAATATCTATGAAATTCAATTACGCAAGATTAACAATTAGTTTATAAAGATCCTGTGCATGTTTCACAATATTTATTACATATAATAATAATAGGAGGAGTAGTTTGAATTGGAGGTCGAGGTACAGATGGATTAATTGATATACACCATCCATTTTCTAAATTATTATAATAACTTGATGTATCACATTAAGTGCATTCATCCATATTTTTGCATGCTAAACATCCTGGTTAGTTACATGTGATACAACTATAAGATTCTGATACAGGGTTAAATTATAAAAATTAGTTTGTTAAACAAGTTGAACTTGTGTGTCCAGATTCCCAAGTAACACACGAGTTCCCATCATTACAATCTTAACAAAATGGTTAACACTATAATTTTATATTAATTATTTACATAATGTACTACAATAAAGTATTCAGATATTGCACAAAATTCATCTCTTGGATCTGAAGTTGTATCTGTACATTATAACTCTATATATAATGTTGATTATTTGAAAGGATTCTAAAATATTTCAAAATATAATGTCCTTTCTTCTGAAATTTTACCAATTATATTGTAACCTCCTGATGTTGGTTTTGGGTAAGCTGTTGATTTAACTCCTTCAATAGTATAATAAAAATTTCCAGTATATAAATCTCCATAAGTAACATTAAATCTTATTGTTACAGCGTAATGAGGTTTTGATATAATCCATTATTTTTTATATATTGCATTATTCCATACCATTACACCTCCCAACACAAATTTAGATGGAAATATTGAAAATTTCTGACCTGTTAAGAAATTACCACCTGTTTCAATTGTTGTATCATAAAATTTGCTTATTTCTGTAGTAGTCATATTTAAATTATAAAATCCTTTTGCTAAATAACGAGAATCTAATAAATTTAATGAAAATACTTGGTATAATATCGGCATAATCAATACAATTAGTAGAATGTATTGGACAAACATCAACACATCTTTTTTAAAATAATTTATATCCTCCATCACATAAAGCACAAGTTGAAAACCCATCACATACTAAAAAATTCATTTAACAATATCCATAATCAATTGTTAAATTTCTGAATCCCCATACTTATGATACTGGAGCTGGGTTTACTCCTTGAAAAGTAAGTTTTGGAAAAACTGAATACATTCGAAGGATAGCTTCTATTCTGATTAAATCATATGTAGAACAATCTGTACTTGAATTATAAATTAATTTAACTCCATAATAATAATAATTAGTATCAGTTTTTATTATTTCACCTTATATTTAGTTATGAAATAGTATTTAAATTTTACTATCAGTCAAAAAGTTCTTTATAAAAAATGTTACTCTTAATCTGATAAATTTTAAGTGTTGAACATAACCAGTATCAAAACTCATTCCCTCATTATGAAGTAAACCTCCAACATAAGTAGTTGAGCAACAATCTATATTCAACGATGAAGGGGTTCTTGGATATGAAATATCTTCAATGAATGAAAAAGGAATATAATCGCTAAAAGTTTAAGATTAAAAGTATTAACTATAACTTATAATTCTTTATTCTGGAATACAAAAATTATCTGATCTTGCCATGTAGTAATTTCTATCACATTCTTATCTACATCCGACTCCAGTTTAAGCAAATTAATGAGATGGATCACAATTACAAGTTCCATCTACTTATGGACTACCATAATAACATGATAGACAACTTGTTGAAGTTGAACAAGTATTGCAAGTTGGTAAACAATATTTCACATATACAAACAAATTTCTTACACCTATAACTTGAAGGTCATTAAAAGTATCGATACCTATATATTAAAATTTTCATAATATTAAACTTATGAAGTACCTACAATAGTTTAAAATTCAAAGTAGTTGGTTCCTGTAGTGTTACATATCCTTCTTGATTATTGGGTCAAATCAGTTTTAATATAACTTCTTTATTCCATAATTTCTCTTTAAGATTAACTAATAGTTAAGTTTAATGTAAAATTAGCTTTTTCACTAGTAGAACTATCTGCATCATCAAAAAAAATATCAAATAATACTTATTATTAGTAACTTTTTTTCGGAAATATTTTATCTATTCTTTAATTGTCTTTTTTAAGTTGTACATATTTAATATAATTTTCAGTACAGGTATAATATGATTATTGGGCATCAATGTCAAAAGTGTCACAATATTTTGAAATCTGCCAGTTGTTACTATTAGAGAAACTTTACTCATAACTTTAGTCAACCAATACCCAATCATTTAGAGCTAGACAAACTGATATCATCATCTACATAATTAAAAACATTTATTAAATTTTATTTTCAAATATTTTTTTGTGGTTAGTAGATTTATATCTATCAACTAAGTATTCTAATCACTATTAAATTATAATTAAATATACAAATCTCCTCTAATTTATTATCCAATTCTTTCAACTGATCATGATAAATTTAGAAACTTAGTTTGTTGATTAAAAAATTTTAATAGAATTATATATATATATATATATTTAGATGAATTTCTTTAATGGCTATTTCTTAATGTCAATTTTCTATTTATAAGCCGAAGTATTTATGTATGTGGTTTAATAACAAAAGAAATAAATAGTATTACTAATTTATTACAAAATAAAATACATTAATTGTACTTAATGAATTGAGTACTAATAACCATAATTAGACCTTTCGCTATATTTTTAGATTTAGAAATAAATGATGTATTTTATTTTATTATATTATAATTAATTAAGCAAACTTATAATCAAATAATCATTTAATAATAAATAGAACAACACTTTTAAAAAATTTCCATTTAATATAAAATATATATAAAAAATGAGTAATTGATATTGAAAGTCAATGTTTCTATTCTATTAAAATGTTGTTCTTATTTTTAAATTTCCTTCAAAAATTATGTTGAATCCCTATTGATTAATTTAAAAAGAAATTATCAATTTATAAGGACTTAAAAAGAGCCTTAATTATATCAAAATTAAGTCAGTTTCTTTAATAAACTTCTTAGAAATAAATCATGATTTAACAATTTGGATAATTCTAAATAACTATTTGATTTCAATTTATAACTTTTTAAGGTAAAAGAATTTATTATTAAAAAAAAAATTATAAACTAGATGATGATAATTAAACATATTAAAAATTTAGGAAAAAATGTTTAATATCATTTTAAATTCACTATGAAAATATATGAGTTTGAATTGAATGTTTCAACTTTAAGAGACATAAGAAATTATCAAAAATAATAATGTTTTAATTTTCTACTCTCTATTTTTATGTACTTAAAAATTTGTTACAATCAAGAATTAATAAACTAAGAATCGTTCTTACATTTTCATATAACCTTAGTAAAAATCAAACAAAATAGTTCAGTTATTTATTTTGCCCCCCAGTTTTATATTAACCACAATAAGTTATTTATGAATTCCATAAAATTGATCGCTTATAATAAACCATTTTCCTATTTTAGTGCCATCTATTCTGTTATGCTTTATCTTATCAATATTATTAAATATCTCAAGCGTCCCTTTGAATCGTTTGATTTAAATATTTAATAAGGAATATAGATAAATGAATTTTATTTATTCTGGATAATCATGATTTGAATATTAATTTTTAATATATACTTATAATTGTTATTCTACTTGTAAACTTTGAATTCCTTTTTTCATTCTCAGTTTATCTTTAAAATCTAAAATTTCATTTAAATTTTTAAAACATATCATATTGATTGCTGAAAATCATTTTGGAAATTTAAATATAATATTTTCCTATTAACTAATACATGAATATAAAAGAGTATTTTATTTATTCAAATAGTAAATTTTTTTGAATAAACCATTTACAATATAAACTTCTGACATTAATAATATATTATTTTTACATCTAACAAATTCATCCTTCCTGATTTAAGCAATAAATTGTGAGCTTTTAAATGTATATTTTTTTGTAGAGCCTGAACTAACATAATAATGTTTATTTCCAATTTTAGAATAGAGCAGTCTTAAGCAATTTTTTACCTTCATGCACCTCTATTATAATAATTTCAAGCATTATTTAAGTTTAAATCAATAACCTTGTTAAAATCTAGAAGTGCTTACTTCTCATTTCAAATGTTATAAAATGTTTACTATTTTTTTTAATTAACATGACAACTTTTGTTCATGTATGGATTTGCATTATTTGAATCAAATTCTATAACATTGTTATAATCTAAGAGGGCCTAGTCTTAATACAAATTTCCTCTTCATTCTATAATAAGATTATGCCTCTGTTACAATATGCCAAAATATATTTATCATCAATTTAAATAACATTATTGTAATATTATTATTATTATTATTTCCAATTTTATTCTTCTGACATCCTTGTAATATCAAAGACTCTGTATCTATTCTAACCTATGCCAATGATGATTTAGGTTTTATTTGAATAAACTTTTAGTTATCATTTAAAACTTCAGTAAATATATAATTACAATAAAATCATGTGGCAAAATGATAACAAAGTCTAACCACTTTGATAATACGTTTTTTCATTAGTTGATCCTAATTGAAAAGCTTTATTTAAATCCTCAACTGCCTAGACATTCATTTTGTTATCTTATACTTTCATTAAAATTTATGAATACCTCTTAATACCAAAGCCTTAATATTTAAAGAATTGAGCTTCAAAGCATCATCAAATTTTTTAGTCAATAAAAATACATATAATAATTATAATAATATTTCCTCATTATATTGAATCTATAAAGATAATTTAGTAATTCCACCCTAAATTTGTATAAAGGACTTTCCAATAGTAATTTATTAATTATTTTGGATGAGATCTTAAGACAGCAATTTTCAATTTATAAACAAAGTTGAAGTTGAGATTTATGTAATTTAATAATCAAAAATTGTAGATATCTATCGAAATTCTTAAATGAAATTTATACATAATTACATATATTAAACAAAATCAATAATCTTTTCATTTGATTAGTTAATTAATTAAAATGGATCTCATTTTTGAGTATAAAGCCTTCACTGCAATAATAATCAACTTTTTCTTGACATCAATTTCTCTAATGATGTCAAGTATAATTCATAAAAAAAGAAATTGAGAGACTGGATCAACACTTTAAGTAATTTTAAATATAATCAAGCTTCTATATTTGAAAGCTCAATTATTTTATCAGCTTTATAGAATTACATATCGTTTTATATCAACATAATCTCCAGTTTTGAGAAACAGTCATTACAGAGACTTAATTATCTTGTGCTCTTATTTAATATATTACACTGTCATACCTAAAAATTTTCATTGTTTTTTAATTATCTGTCTAAATACTATATTAAAACCTAACGGATAAAGAAAATAATTTGGATTATTAGTAATATAATGTTATAAATTTTATGTATCTGTGTATCCTATCACTTTCTAAATCCAAAATTCTAATTACATTATTTGAAATAAATTCTAATATACTTAATTAAATTTTCTAATCTTTACTATATTTATTAATCAAAATTTAAACAGCTAATCTTTTCATGTCTAAATAGATTAGATTTATTTTGTATCTTCATTCCTTTTTTATATATCAATATTTTACCATTCAAATGCTTTAATTTTCATCTTTAAATAGAGCAATCCAACGTTTGTACTTATTGAAGAATTAGATATTTTGATATGAATTTATTTTAATTATTGAATCAATATTTTAATATAGTTAAGAATAGAAATAAATGAATAAAAATAGAGTTTAAGAAGATGAAACTAAAATATTTTTTAATAATTTAGATTTAAATTCTTGAAAAAATAAACTTAGATTAATATCAAAAACAATAAAAATCATTCAGTATCTATCTTTAAAAGGTATTTTTATTCAGATGTCCAGGATTAAGTTTTTTTAATTTAAGTGCTTAAAATTTTTTTGTGATTTTCTAGTTAGGATTTAGAAACCTTTAATAGATGTTATCTAAGTTTATTAATCAATATTTTCAATCTCTTACTTCTTTAGGTTGATTTTTGCAAATAATTTTATAACTTTCTTGTAAAGATTAAATTTGATGAAATCTTATTCAAAATTATGTATAAATAATTTAAAAATAATAGAAAGTACTTGTTATAATAAACTTCTAATATACTTTTGAAAAATGAATAACAAAGTTTAATACAAAGAAGAACAATAATAGTCTAAAGTGATATTGATGAAAACTAATTATTTTCTTGTTCTGCTACATATTTAGCTGCAGCAAGAAAAATTGATATAGAACAAATTTGTGCTGAAAATAAATCCATACTATTGAAATTAGAAAGAATATATGGTTTTTTGTTAAAAGCTATTAACTAATAAAAAAGTAAACATAATCCTAATAATGATGCTTTTAGTAAAATATAAGTTTCAAAATATGTTAATATAAGAATTATAATTGTTTTCTTAATTAACTTTATGTCTTCCCAAAAATAGCTACTTACATTATATTCATTAATTAAATAACAAAAATGTTTTCTTATGCTAATGTTATCATGTTAATCTTTTTTAATATGCATGACAATAAAAAGGGAAAATGGAATTATCAAACTAAATATTCCTA